TCTTGAAAAATAAACGATTCCCGAAAGTCAATCCCCACCACATCTTTGATCTGGTGTCGTTCAGCCCAATGGTTTAATGAAATCAGCTTATCTCGCTCAACAAACGGTGGTGTAATCATCCGAATGGATAACCCTCGCAACGAGGTCTCGAAGGCTCGTAAGGAAGATCTCCTTGCAAGAACGATGAAACGACTTGATGCTCGTCAACAAGGGCCATCCCAGGGCCGGTCCCAAAGGGCCCGTGGTACTTCACCCAATGGAAGCGACGAGGTATTTATCCATTTGTCAGACTGTTTTGATAATATCAGGCTGATCCATGGCCGATGCTCTGAGCAGGAAGACTCCAGTGGGCCTGAATTTGAGGACCTCGAGGTGTATTCCGACCAGATTTTCGAAAAATATCCGATGAACACCAAATATAATCGACATTATCCGGTGTATCTTGATCCTACCAATCCTGATCGTTACATTCTCCTTACTTCAGGTAATGTTGACATATGGGCAAAAGATCTGGTGAGCTCATGATTTGATTTCAACTCCTCATAATAAAAATGTCTGACACAATAAAAAACTTGGTCAGTGTTCCCGTGTACCTGGTGTTAGCCTGGTCTCACCTCCTAGTTCAATCAAGTACCAAAGCCGCAAGCAGACCGAGAAAGAAAAGGCACCATCAACGGTCGAATCTTCAAGCACTGCCTCTCTTGTAGAGTTGACCAAGTGGCTCATCGAACAAAAAAATGGCATGCCTCGATCTTCCCCACCATCTTCAGTATGCGGTGATACAACCACAACCGTCGATATAGGTGACTACTTAAACTTTGTGTGCATTGCTCCTAACAAGCGCGAAGGGATACGCAACACCTTACTTCACAACGACATCGACTGTTACAAGATGTTCAAAAATCTCGTGGTGGATGATTTGAAGGCCCTTGGTTTCAATGTAGGTATCATAACCAAGCTCCGAAGCAATGTTACTAGATACCGAGCTCATTTAGCCAGGTCTGGCTAAATCAACCCATCCGGTCTTCAATCTCTTGTCTCGTTCTTCCATCCCTTGGCTTGGTCTGCTGTCTGCTGTCTGCTATCTATCTCCCATCTGTAGTCTCGGTCTCGGTCTTCTGTCTTCTGTCTGCTGTCTGCTGTCTGCAATATCCCATATCGTCTCGGTCTTCCATCTCATGTCTCAGTCTGCTGTCTGTTGTATTGGTATGCTATCTTTCACCTCTTGTCTTGGTCTGTGTCTTGGTCTGCTGTCTGCTGTCTCGGTCTGTTTTCCACTGTCTCCGTATCTTGTCTGCTGTCTGCTGTATGTTGTATTGGTCTGCTATCTCCCATCTCTCTCGGTCTGCTCTCTGCCATCCCTTGTCTCACTCTGCTGTCTGATGTCCCTTGTGCCACTCTGCTGTCTGATGTCTCTTGTATTCTTCGCTATCTACTCTTGTGTCTTGGTCTGCTGTCAAACATGAATGATCGATTGTATGACCATCACTTAGCGCGGACAATTGGAATACCAACAGATTGAGACTTGATTCAATATGCCCGATCGACTCAGAGCACTTAGTCACCAAGTGCCAACACAAGGGAGTAAAGATCCTGGATGACAAGGCAGAAGGACTTTGTCTCATTCATGATCACTGCCATGACATGCAATAAAAATCTCACAGTAATTTCACTCAATCAGTCTCTTTCAACTTGTCATTTTCTTACAGGGCAAAAATTTCATCGGACTTGATAAAACATGCCTTTTTGTAATGTGAAACACTGGGCTATTGGACTTGAAAACATGAGTCAATTGGACTTAGCAGAACATGTTATCACATTTGTGAAAATGAGGACATCTGACTTGAGAACATGAGGCGATCGGACTTAGCAAAACAGGCTATCACATTTGTGCACAGGAGGACATCGGACTTGAGAACACAAGGCTATCAGACTTGGAAAACACAGGCTATCGGACTTGAGAACACAAGGCTATCAGACTTGAAAAACACAGGCTATCGGACTTGAGAACACAAGGCTATCGGACTTGAGAACACAAGGCTATCAGACTTGAGAACATGACACTATCAGACTTGAGAACATAAGGCTATCGGACTTGATAAAAACAGGCTATTGGACTTGAGAAAAACAGGCTATCGGTCTTGAGAAGAACAGGCTATAAGAACAGGCTATTGGACTTGAGAACATGACTATCGGTCTTGAGAAGAACAGGCTATAAGAACAGGCTATTGGACTTGAGAACATGACTATCGGACTTGAGAACATAAGGCTAGAAGAAGACTTGAGAAGAACACGCTATCGGTCTTGAGAACATAGGGCTATCGGTCTTGAGAAAAACAGGCTATTGGACTTGAGAACATGAGGCTATCAGACTTGAGTAAAACAGGCTATCGGACTTAAAAGCAGACTATCGGAGTTGAGCAAATGATACTAATTGTCCTCAACATCAATCTCTTGAATCGATCCGGCAGTAGGGCAGTCGTATCCCGCATGACGGTAGAGTTCATGGCACAAAGTAGAGGAAACAACATTGTTAGTTGTTCTTCGAATCGTCCAAGCAGGGTCAAGACTGTTGACTAAGGCTTGAGTGCGGCGGAGATTGCTTTTAACTTGTGAAAAGCAGACTTCGATTGGATTTAACTCCGGGCAGTACGGGGGGAGATAAACGAGTTTGACACCAGCTTCACGACATAACCTAGCGATTTTACCACCTCGGTGTATCCTGGCATTGTCCATCACCAAGACAGATTTGACCGCTGGGTAAGGATTCATACGAGGGAGCTGTTAAACAATTGCCATTGTCATAAATTAGTATCGGAGACAAAATCAAATCATTAAAGAATGAAACTCACCAGATTGAATTTCAAGAAGTGCTCAAAGTCACGTCTTTTGAAAGTGTGCTCGGTTATTTTCATTGTAAGGACACCTTCGTAACAGATTCCTGGGACTAATGTGAATCGCTTCGGGTTCTGTTCGATTTGGTAACGAACCGAAGAAGATCCTTTCCTAGATCTAGAGAACGATCTCAAAAGATCTCGAGAGCAGATGCCTGACTCGTCTTCAAGAAAAAGATACACACAAAATGGTCAGATTCTGTAATCAAGATCTGACAGTGATCTTACGCTTACCAGTAAAAACAAGAAACTCAGCCGGTACATCAGCCATTTTGGCGACAAATCGAAACTTAGCGGTTAAGTTTTTGCGGATGTTGACAGTGTCTGGTTTCTTCAAGGTGATGTTAAGTTTATCAACCAGCGTCTCGTGGAGGCTCGATATCCCCAAAAGTGTGCCCCTGGAGTCGAACAGGCGCTCTTGCAACTCATCAAGGAACAGGCCTGGTTCCGTGCGTACAAGTTCAAGCATGAATTCTCGGTCCTCAGCTGATAATAACGAATTTCGACCTTGAACCGCATATTCTTCAGGATCACGGACAACTCGTTGGGTTTCACGATATAATTCGTTCCATCGAGTGAACGATTGTCTAGACACAGTGAAACCGAGAGAGTTTCGTATAAAGGTTTGTGAGTGCTTTTGGAGGCTCATTCGAACTGTGGCGATCTTCGTGGAGGCGTCGTATTTTCGAAAGACCATGTTGAGAGAATAAGCTGATTAGAGCTGGGCTGAATAAGGCTGAGGGGCAGGAGGAAAGAGGAAACCGATCGGGCTGAGGGGCAGGAGGAAAGAGGAAACCGGAGGGGAGCTGAGGGGAGAGGGGGTGTGTGGTGGGAGATCACACCAGTATCACCTGTCCTTTTCATTTGAAAGCTTAAAGGACTGATCCTCCTCGATCTCCGGCTGCGTCAGAGACTTGTCCAGGGCAGAAAGCTGCAGCCGGGACAAAACCTCACCCTGCCTGGCCTGTTAAATGCATAATCAAAGATTAATCTTGGATTATCGAGTCCAAGATTTTCCGAAAAGACAATATGTACTGATTGAGAAGCCACTCATAAACGTCAAGAGGCGTTGAATGCGTCAGAAAACACAAAGAATGTACGTATCAACAATTTGGTACGTCACACTTCACATTGTACAAACCAATTCAAACAATGGTGTAAATACAAATCTGGCATCCTGGTTGTATACATACAATCAATATCGCAGCCCGAGATGCGCCAAATAGAATCCAGAATCAGATCAGCATTTCGGTGCCGCTAGAGCTTCTTCCACTGAGGATTTTCTTTGTCGACTTTATTTATTTATCAATTTTTTCAAGGTCCAGGAAAAATATAAGCACACTCGCGCCAATCAGCTACAACCTGGAGGCCATCAGCTTCTCTCTACAAAATGTCTGTCCAGCAAGGATATCCCAAGATTCACGATCGCTACGACTATGTAGAATACATACTACCTGGCTTTGTGTACGTCCCTCGTTTTCAACTGGATGCTTCTTCCATCCCATCTGGGTTGAACTGTTGCAACTTTCCAAAGAATGTGCATCTAATTAAAAAAAATGAGATTAGGACTGGGGTGTATGCCAGCGCCTGCTTTGGGGGAATGGTCATTAGTGAAGGAATCCGGGTTCTATATCGATTTCCCCAAGACTCGACAATCATGCGAGTGATGGTTCTATGGGTCATGGGATGTTCACTGCTGCATACGAGGTTTGTACTTTCCTGTAACAGGTTCATTTATCCCAACATGACAGTGACTCGTTATTCTTCACTCATATTCAACAACAGCTGGTTTGAGTACATTGCCTATCATTACGCGGTTGATGGATTTCACGACGTGAGGAAACTCAACGCGGTAACTCCTCATCTTGGGTACGCCAACCTCTCAACCCAGTACAAGAACCTCACGGAATGCTAGAAATTAACGCGTCGATTTCGCGCTCGGGTTGATCTGATTTCTCGATCCTACAGTGCTCATGTATTTTTATCCAGATGCCTCGTCACAACATGCAAGTATTTGTTTATAAATGTCGACTTATTTTTTGAGTCGTGTCTCATTGAGTCGACGGCTGACCTGAATCTTCAATTCAGCTCAGCTTTTTTTCTGCTACCGACTGTATGTTTTTTCAAGCCGAGACTGGCGGGGGACGAGTCTAGCTATCCTGCTTACTCTTGGGCATGTCGCATCCGCAATCGGTACGATGATCCAGTTCGTCCGAGCAAAATATTACACGGAGCTCTTTCTATTGCTTCCACTGGGCTTGTGAGTCCATCAACCGCTAACTTTTCATTTCACTATTCCTCTAAACGACTGGCCATTGACGAGTCCGGTACATCCTAATCCTACGCATCTCACAGTCTTTATAGCACAACGGTAGGCGCATTTTTTGAGAAGGAACAACAGTGCTCGTGGGGCTCGATTATTCAACCTGTTTTCCTTTCTGATTCAACAGATATCCGGAGATATCCTCATTACCGGTTCTTTGTTGTATTTTTTGGGAAAGCAGAAGACTCACTACATCAAGACCAAATCGTTGAGCTTTTTTTTTCTATGAGGATTCTCATAAGGGGGCTATCGATCTGACAATAGACTCGGGTTTGTGTAGCATAATCAAACGTATCATGCTTTTGTCTTTCCAAACTAGGTAAGCATTTCTTTTTTTTTTCAAGTAATGTCATCCATACCGCTTACATTGGAATCTAGTTTTTTGACAACGGCGCTTGCTATCGTGTCAATCGGCCTTCTGGGAGCGCAGAGGGAACTGGGAATTTTGTACTGCTTGACGTAGGAACCGTTTGACCTGCTATTGATTCAGTGATGAATTTGTTTTGACGCTCGGTGAACCCGTTATTTGACGCCCCCACAGACTTATATCGGCACAGCTTTACCTTCTTTCAATTGTAAGTCAACTCATTCAAGTCTTGGGAGCTTCGGGCCATTTTTTTGACCGCTCTCACATCATATTCCCCCTGAACACAGCTGGTAACCTTGAACTCGAGATTTGACTTTGCCAAGGCTTTCGCCGAGGATGCAAACAAGAGTCTTTCGAGATCATTTCGAATGGTTAGTAATACATGGTGATGTGGCGTAGTTCTCGGCATTTGCGCCGGGAGTGTTTACATCAACCCTCCACTTCTCTTCTCAACATATCTTGACACTAACGTTAAGGGTCTCTTTTCATCCGCAGAATTTTCTCAAATCAAAGACAAGAGAGTGGCCTGGCCCTGGAGAGGGTGTCAGCATTCAGGTAGACCAGGTCGTTTTCACAGATTTCGACGAAGATATTCTTGCGTCACCCAGATTCACGAAGGTTCGCCCAGGAAACGGACAGGATACCATCCGAGCCCCCGCTGTGCCCATCCTCGATAACTTTTCCCATCGGTAGACTGACACGCTTGTTACATTAAAATTGCTCTTTTTTCGGCGTCTTTACGTGTTATGTTGTTTTGTTTTTGTTTTCTGCCAATTTTGGATTGTTAATGTAATCAACCAAGTTCACTAAATACTTGAAACCTTGCATTTGGGGTCAAAGCCCTTAAACATGGACCTAAAACGATGTCTATAGACTGACCTGGGAATACTAAAGTCGCAGGGAATTCAACCCCAGGCAATTATGGTACCGATTGGGAGTTACATGAATGAGGTAGGTTTATACCCGCGCCTTCAACACTTGAACACATGTGAGCTTTTAGCCTGGCCCACCGGCAACCATAGACTCCAACAGCGAAGCTCCCTGCGCGTCTTTCATTGCTCACCGCCAGCCCAGGTATCAATCTTTCTTCGTTACTTCGATTGACCATAACTCGAACGGATGTGACATTTTGCAAAAGCAAAGTTCCATACGCCTCTTGCACTGATCGCAGTCAGTGTCAGCGTCAATTGCTTTCCGCTGCGTGGATTACGCTTATGCTCAAGCGGATGTAATGTATGCCAAGTCGTCAAGCGGCCCTAATTCTATATTCCCCTGAATCATCATATATCTGCCGTCACTCATGATTATTGTAATCACAAATATGAATTTTGATTTTTGCCTCCTGGTTTTAACTGGTTAAATCACCCATGTACAGTGCCTAGACAGTGAAAAGTGGCCGCTTATTTTGGATTCCAGAGCTCCAAAAAACAAATTTGAAATCATGAGACTTGGTAAGGTGGTGCATAATAGGTACCAAAAACTGAACATGAAATCATAAAAGCAAAAAATAAAGTTCCAAAATTTGTGAAAAATAAAAAATAAAATTGATTTTTTTCAAAAGCTTTGATAATCATTTTGGGGGAGTGGGAGTGCTGAGAGAAAGAAAGATTGGGAAATGAGAAGAATGATTATAAATGAAAATTTTGGAAAAACTGGTTTTCAGATGGCTTCAAACAGCTGTTGAGTGGGGCATTTACTAGTCCACATGGCAGCAAAGCACTAGAATTTACTGTTTTGGCTCCAATCTGGACCACCAACCTGGCTAAACCTTTTTTGGTTCCAATTTTTTTCATTTATAATCATTCTTCCCATGTTCCATTCTTTCTTTCTCTCAGCACTCCCACTCCCCCAAAATGGATATCAAAGCTTTTGAAAAAAATCAAGTTTATTTTTTATTTTTCACAAATTTTCAAAATTTATTTTTTGCTTTTATTATTTCATATTCATTTTTGAGGACCTATTATGCACCACCTGACCAAGTCTCATGACTTCAAGTTTGTGCTTCAGAGCTCTGGAATCCAAAATAAGCAGCCACTTTTCACTGTCTACCCACTGTACACAGAAATGAGCTCTTGCAAACTCAAAAAATCGGCGGACATCGTTATTTATCCTGCTTTCTGGAGAGGAAAAAAAAGTTACGATATGGGTTGCAGTAAAGAAGATAATATTGTCACCAGATATTGAGGGCGTTCCAAGGACAGATAAGTTAATGGAAGCTTGGAGCTTGCGAAATATTCCCTGATTTTTGTAGGGCCATCCCAGACAGAATTTTGATTAATCAAATGTCTACTGCATAGCTAATGCGGTAATGTGACTCAGATAGGGGTAACGGTGGTGGCCATATCTTATCTTGCTGAGAAAACCGTCCTGTATTGTTACTTTCCCAATGTTGAAAATGTAGCTGCTTATTGTTCGTCTGCTCCATAGACAGTCCGATTGAGTTTAATAGCATTGTAATGTCATGATGAAGTAAAGAGCCTCTCTTATGATCAATGGACCATAAGCCAATATAATAGGCTCAATTAGGCATAATAAAATCTTTGTGAATTCCTGGAAAAGAGCTAATTGTTCATTTGTTCTGCAAGTGTATTAGGGTTGGTAACTTCAGAATGACAAGTCCACTACTGTAAATTTTACGATGCGCCTTGCATGATAATTGACACAAAGAAAGTATGAGAAAATCTGATGGGACAAGTTTAGAGTGCGTCCAAGGAGTTTCGCGTGTCGTGATTGGCTTTCAAAACCTAGTGTTTGCAGAAGGGTTCAAAGAAACAATTCTTCGCACTCAGAAGAGCTCGTGATACATGAGGGGAAAGGAGCTTGACTCACTGGGACCGGATTCATTTCCTCACAAACCTCCTCCTGAATAGCAGAGTGGGTCTCCTCCGGAATCATCGACTCAAAGCTGCCATGAAATCCATTCAATGACTCGTCTTGATTCAAGCGGCTTTCAATGAATTTGTCAAGCCATGATTTGAAAGATGGAGATAGCAGCGGCTTTTGTAAAGCGTTGGGAGAAGAAATGATGATGCGAGCCACGCCAAATGACGATATCCGCTTGTTTGCATTTCCTTTCCCAGCGTGGCTTCTCCGGTGAATGAATTCTAGAGGCTGAGGATAAAAAACGAGCATTGTAAGACTTCATAGGTTTGATGGATTGAAAGTTATGAAACGTACCTTGTCATAACATAAGTTTTCAAGTCTGGCAGAGATTTTCTCCGCGTAAAGTTCTTCGTCGGAAGATTCTGAACAAGGCGATGAAGGTCCGGTGTGATCAAAGAAGGATTGAACGATTTCGACCGAGAGTCGGATTGATACTCTAGAAGCGTAGTCCGATTCTTGACTTTCCTGTGACGAAGATGAATCTTCGCTCGACCTGTAGGGCGAGCAAGGCGGCTGTACTAGGGAATCTGTTCGGTCACATCTGGGCGGCGGACAGAAAAGTCTTGGCAGCGGTTGTTCAGGCTTATTTTGATCGCCCAATTTTCCGAATCCTAGCGGCGGAGTGGATGGTAGGCAGCGAGACAGCGTTGGGGATACCTGACAAACACGAAAAACACCGACGTTGCGTTTCTCTTGTGCATTGCGATGGTTAACATTTGTGGATTGCACATTTTGTCCATAAGGAACACTGCGCGCGGTATCTGTTTCTTGATGGGAGCTCGAGTATGGGGCCTGTATGTATAGTCACGTATTGTCAGCAAACTCGGTGCTGCTGAAGTCTCAGGGAGCAAGGCTGGGGAAATCAGCTGCAGACTAAGAGGGGTTCTCTTACCGCTCTATAAAATCTAGGTAATATCTCGAATTCGAACATCATCGGGGCGAGCATCGGCCAGCAGGTTGGACGACAGTTGGCAGTAGTGCTAGTAGAAGAACCTCCTTGGAAATTGATATCCAAAATAGTCTCTGACAGGGGCCGAGTGCCTAGGGAATTGGCATCTTTCGGCTGGCCTTTGGGACGATTCACTTTCTGCTTGATGGAGCGCACAGCAGAGAGTAATCGCTGAGATGGTTTTCGGGAAAGACCAATGGAGGAATTTAAGGACATCTTGCAAGTAGAGTTTATTGGTAAAAAAAATAGCAATGGAGTGGACACTGGCCAGCAATGTCAAAAGTAACGGCTGTCGAGTGAGTCGTCAATCTGACAGAATTACTTGATGGAGAATGAATGAAAGAAGAAATATTTGTAAAGGCACGACTATTAGGGTATTCAGGAAATAATGGTTGATGAAGCGGCTTACACGAGCAGCCCAGAGAAAACTTGCACTTGCTAATTTGGCTGCACGGTTCACATGGGCACATTTGTAACCGTCTCGAGTCACACATCGACAAACTCGGCGGCAGCGTCTGGACAAGCCTTATTCGGGGTTTGTCGCCGTGTAACCAATGTGAACCGTGCTATTAGAGTCAGTGCACTGGCAATGATACTGATCAGATCCGCTTGCTTTGATCTCATCTTCTCACCCCACACTGGCTCAAAATGAGACTGGTTCCCCTTCCGAACAGCTTTTCACAATCTGAGCTGAGGGAATTGGGTCACCTACTTCTTGCTGTGGGAGTCCCTTGACCTGATTATAGATGTGAGTGATCTTTGGGAAAAAAACGACGCAGTGAGAAATTGTAGTTTGCAGAAGCGCTTCAAGTCATAACTCATCCCCTTCACATTGGCAGGAGCATCGGAGGTGCGTAAAAACCGATTTGATGGAGAGCCTACATACATACGATGTTCTTCATACCCATCAGTTCACAAAAAGTGTGCGGTGCAGCATGTAGCGCCAGTTTCCGTAATTTAAAGGCGACCAGGATTATGCTTCCAAAAATCCTTGGACAATCAATTCTTCTTAAACCTCAAACTTATGGGTTTGTTCACAGCAGTATTGCCTCTGTTTCTGCATAACATCCTAGGGTCAAAACATGTTGATCATCAATTGAAAATTTAAATTCAACCGGCTGATCCCATGATTTGAGAATCATTTTGCTATTCTTCATCCCAAGCTTACTTGAAGACACAAGACAACATGACAATGGAGACTTGATGAATTACAGGACAAAACTAGGTCCAATTGTGCATTCTTGGGGGTAGCCCAAGCCCAACTCCTGGGGAAAATGGAGGACTTCCCGTCAATATCATGGCAGAACCTGCAAAGTCAGATTTACCCCCACTGAATTTGGATTTTGCAGAGTACAAATCTGTTTTTTAGGTGAGACGGAGCCAATGGGAATTGCTGCAATGTGTATATTTGTTGCTCATAAGAGTGAAGGATTTCATGAAATGTAAAAAAAACCTTTTGACTGTATGAAGTCTCATTGCATCTCTAAAGTGTATAACAAGATTGAATGCATCATGGTGTGAACAATCAGCTACACCGCCAAAGCAAAAAAACGTTCTGGGAACCACTTTTCCAAATGCCATTTTTTAAACTACTTTCAACGGTGAGACAATCTAGTCTGTTGGAATTTTGATATCTTTTTTTACTCATTCTAAAAATCACCCTTTTTTTATTTCTCCTCTCATGCTTTCATTCATCATTATAGCCTGTTTTTCATCTACATTATGCATGCATGATCAACCTCCTTGTAGTCAAAGAACTCTGGTTAGTATGACTTATCAGCTATTTCAGTGACACTTGTCTTCTTGAGCTTGTTAACTTTGTAGGCCTGTTATTATATTGCATATTCAAAACTAATCCTCCTTCTCATCATCCTCTCATCACTGGCTATAGTTTTATCAGCAAGAAAGAAAAATTCACCTTGCTGAACACTTTATATGGCCTTGTCTTTTCTATGATGGCAGCTCAGTAGTGGGAGAGAGAAGGAGTGGGGGAGATGCTTGGAGTAGTGAGAATTGAAGGTTTGGGTGAATTCTGGAGGAAATGGAGGTAAGGTGGTAAGGGTGACTGAGAAACTATCTGGTGCAGGGCTTACTTGTGATGTATCTATCATTGTTTGGGGTTGGGTTATTTGTCTATGGATTTGTTTTGAAGTCCTTTGCTATGAACTGGGCAAACATCACTGAAGGGGGAATGGTCATATTGAGGGTCAGATAGATCAATGGATGGTGAAGTATTGCAGTCTACATTCAAGAATTGTTGGCCAGTCCTGCTGGGATCTTCCATCTCTTTGCAAGAAGCAGAGTGGTCAGTGGTGGCTGGCACCAGACTTTGATCAAAGAGCCTTCTCTTTGCACAAGTGAGCTAGGTGAAGCAATCAAATTATTTTGGTGTCCCTGGAGGTAGTGTTGACCCTTGAGGGGCAAGTTATTGTAACATAGTCCAGACCTCTTGATTTCAAAGGCTAGACATCTATCTGAGAAATACACCTGGAGGGTGCTGGTGGCTTTATCTGTACTCTTAGTATCAAGGAGCCAGAACATTTTCTGAATGTCAGGTTTAGGATACCTACTGGTGACAAGAGTAGTATCTAGAAACGTGATCTGCTTAAGGAAGTGTGGAGGAGGGGGTGGAAAAGAATAGCTATCAATGACAGTTTACTGGCGGGGCTCAGAGATGGCTTGATGAGTCTTACTACACGTCTCCCTGTAGCTTGAGGCCAGGGCAACCAATCTCTAGGCGGCTCAGAGTTGGGATTAATAACACTTCAGGTTAACGGTTGCGGTAACAGTCATAATAGAACAGGGCAAGGGCATGAGTAGGTTGTAGGATAGGTGTGAATCATGATGAGTCATGAATTGTAGATATGGTGATAAGATTGAAAGAAGATCTATCAGAAGGAAGTAGTGGCCAGAGCCTTGAATATAGGTAGTGAGAACCTTTGCGCAAGTACATAGGGTTGAAAAGTGCTAAAATTTTTGGCTTATGTTAGGTGGTACTAGGTCTTGATGATAGTATCTTATTTTCATAGTTATTTGTGTCTGGGGAAAAAATGTATAGGAAGAGGCCAGCGGCTCCTTTGAATATTGAAAGGAGATGCTGGCCGGGTTGTGGGTATTCATCCTATTCCTTGGGTTCAAGGAATGGGATCAAAATAGTAGACATTTATTTCAACGGTTGGGGAAAGATTTGCGTCTCAACGCATTGTCTCTAGCTGCACTGCAGCATATTCATTAGTCTTTATTCATTCAATTTGCGCCTGCACATTTGTCTTTTATTTCTTTTTTACTCTTTTTTTATTATTTTCTTTCTCCTATGAGGGGGTCTAAACTTATTAGCCCCTGACATTGAATCTCCTTGGGGTGGATGTTGTCTTGTTTGCATAGTGATTTAACATGATTATTTTATTGCAGGCTGAAGAAATTTATACCGAAGACGGGGAGAATTTTTGGGCAACAAAAAATAGTTTTTGATGGAATGGCTCAAGGGTCGAAAAAAGAGGGAGAGAGCCAATGATTTTTATTTGCTTAGTAGAGACTACGCGTTAAATAGACTACGTACATCAAGTTCAATCTGTGGTTCTGAGAGAAAAATGAATATCATAATGAATAACAAAAAATCAACAAATTCTTGAATAGATGACTGGAGTAAATGACTATTGATAAAGACTAGACCAGGGTTTGAAGACTACAAGGATTGCAGCACTAGGCAATAAGACAAGATACCACGCTAGAGATGTCAGCAGGTACCCGGTACCCGTTTGCAGGTACCTGTTTTCCAAAGCAGGTACCCGGAAACAGGTACCGGGTGCGGGTGTCAACATTTGCGGTAAAAACAGGTGCAGGTGCAGGTGCGGGTTTCAAAATTTGCGGTAAAAAAAGGCAGGTACCCGGGTACCCGCCCTACACCTGCCCTGGGAATGCTTCCCCTGAAGAATTTAATTCATCATTGGTGGTCCAACACTCCCTTTTTTTGGTGTGTTGGGCTGAACAAAGGTGTCAGCAACCCATGTAGGACACCAGCTGGTGTCTTACATGTGTTGCTGAACTAATCTGGTTGCTTTGTTGAGGCCGGAGGGTTCCCTCCGGCCTTTGAGATGGTGTACAGTCTTGATGACTGGAGGAATTCCTCCAGTCATAAAGACGGTGTACAGTCTTCATCAATGGACATTGAATAAGGCAAATGAGGCCAAGCAAAAGGGTAAAGCTAAAGATAGATCAGATAGAAGATAAAATTCAAATTGGTGATAGAATAATTTGTTTTTCTTTATTTCTTTATTTTTATTTTATTCTTACTCATATATCTAGTGAATATCAATCTTATATTTACCAAGTCATGCAGAAATTCAAGGGTGAGATTTCTGGGAAAATGTTCCAGGTACCCGGATACCCGCCCCTGGCGGCCCTAGCAGGTGCGGGTGCGGGTGTGGGTGTCAAAAATATTGGATTTTTGAGGCAGGTACCCGCACCCGCTACAGGTACCCGGGTATCGAGCGCCATCTCTACACCACGCAGAAACTAACAACAATTGTATAATAATTTGTATTCCATTATTTAATCATCATCACTTGTAAGAATAAACAAAAAAGAATTTTTTGGGATGAGGAGAGAGAGAGAGAGAAAATTCCAACACCCCCCGCTACTCAGACCTAAAAAACCTTAGAATGAAAGAGAAGCAGTTTGATGATGAGAGGAAAAAAATGAGATTGATTTAGATTAGAAGTATCGGACACCTTCATACTTCACTTCATCGATGTGATGAAGGACACCCTCGGCTGTTCTGAAGAGGGAGAAATCAGTCAGATCGCTGAGCTGATTGAAGTTGTCTTGAACGGTTAGGTGAGCTGAATGGAATTTGGGGGCTTTCTCTGGATACTTAACCCAGCAGTTGTTGACCCGATGACCGGGTTTCTTGCAGTGATCGCAGACCATTGAGCTTGCTGAGGCTTGATCGTTCAATCGAGTGAGGAGTGATTGTGGCAAAGTCAAAGAGGTAGATCAGCGGTGGGCCGCTACGCTACGCTACGCTTTTGGCCCAAAAAGCGTAGCGTAGCGGCGCTTTTTTTGCGCCAAAATTTGGTAGTGTTAGCGCTTTTGTAGCGCATTTTCGCTACGCTACGCTGCGCTACAGCGCTTTTAGCGGAAAAAGCGGCTAAAAACCGCTAAAAACGGCTGTAGCGCAGCGTAGTGGGCCCTTTTTTGTGGCCCACACGCGTAGCGTTAGCGGTGTCGTGGCGGAATTCCGCTACGCTACGCTTAACGCTAACGCGAATTCCGCTGCGTTACGCTACACTAACCGCTACGGTTAGTGTAGCGGCCCACCGTTGGGTAGATGATGGTTTCTTGTCGAGGTCGTTTTGAGCGATGTAGCTTTCAAGCTTTTTAATGACCGATTCAAACGACTCGGAACCATAGTTCATCGAAACAATATCGCAAAAAGAGCGATAGTCAGACGGAAGTTTCTTAAGCATCAGGATGGTTCGAACGCGATTGTCCAAGATAAGGCCCGACATCGATATCTTTTTATTTGCCGATTGAACGGCGGGGATGAAGGTAGTGAAAGAGGAAAAGCTGAGATGTAGAAATTGATCGAGATGGGTTGTTTGAGAGGTTAGATCATTGCCGGCATATTGCGATTTCAGGAGTTTCCAGATACCTTGACCGTTGAAGTGAGGAGTTACAGGCAGGGCAGAGCTAAGAAAACCAAGTACTTCCTGTCCGATGTACCCAATGATTTCTGCATACGCGTCGTTGTTGAGCTTCATCCATGTTTCTTTTTCTTTTTCGTCAGGTTCGACTTCGCTATCGACGATGTTGAGGAGTTTCAATCTGAAAAGTCTTGCTTCCATCGGTAATAGCCAGAGGGCGTAGTTGTTAGGAGTCAAGAGGACTTTGGTTTCACAGATCACTTTGGTCGACATGTTGAAGTTGTTGTTAAGGTTGTAATTTTTAAGCAAAAAGAGAGATAGTTGTAGTAAGTCTTTCGACTGTTAATCGTGAAGAAATTTACACCGAAGACGGGGAGAATTTTTGGGCAACAAAAAATGGTTTTTGATGGAAAGGGTCGAAAAAAGAGGGAGAGAGCCAATTGTTGATGGGCACAGGGACCGAAACTGCGACTGAAGTCGAGACTCATGTGTGGGACTTGACGATGAGAAACTAATATGTTTATTCAGTAAGGAAGAAAGTACTGAGAGGGAGTCCGGTGTTCAGTAGTAGTGGACAGCTTGATATAAGCATAACTATGTACAAGCATCGAGTACTACATACGGGATTCACCATCCCAACACCAATGATTTTTATTTGCTTAGTAGAGCCTACGCGTTAAATAGAATACGTACATCAAGTTCAATCTGTGGTTCTGAGAGAAAAATGAATATCATAATGAATAACAAAAAATCAACAAATTCTTGAATAGATGACTGGAGTAAATGACTATTGATAAAGACTAGACCAGGGTTTGAAGACTACAAGGATTGCAGCACTAGACAATAAGACAAGATACCACACAGAAAATAACAACAATTGTATAATAATTTGTATTCTATTATTTAATCATTATCACTTGTAAGAATAAACAAAAAGGAATTTTTTGGGATGAGGAGAGAGAGAGAGAGAAAATTCCAACACAGGCATCAAAGCTTATTGGGAATGAGTGAAGAAGAACTGCACTTGGAAGGTTACAGAAACAAGGTCAGCCTTCTCCCTCCATTAGTGTTTTTTATCCAAGATCCATTTTTCTGCTCTTTGTTCTTGTGTGAGATTTTAACATCTTTGTTAGGGAGTTGAGCTACTGCTTTTAACATTTATGAGTTTAATATCAATGGTTGCTTTGGCAAAAGCCAGAGCTTTGTTAATCTTTTGACTGACAATGGCTACTTTTAGGCCCTCAAAGGGTTTTGGTTTGTTGGGCTGCTTGTGGGTCACAACCTAGCCAAGTTTGAGCCAATGAATGTAAGAGGAAGGTGGGGTTGGTGGTAATTTTTTGGATGTGATAGAGTTGGATGTTCCAGTGAGTGAATTTCTCCAAGTAGAGAGGAACTGGTCTTGAGGGTAACTTTCTTGGTCTTGCAGTGGGATGGAACTTTGTTGAAATCTGGACTTCTTGAGTAATGGATAGTAAAAAATAAGGGCACTACAATTTCTTACTGGACTAAAGATGGCCATCGGTACCCGGGTACCTCTAGCAGTACCCTGGTACCTCCTTTGTTTTGCTCAGAAATGGAAAACAGGTACCTCACCTGGCACCCCCTGGCGGGTACAGTGGGTAGACAGTGAAAAGCGGCTGCTTATTTTGGATTCCAGAGCTCTGAAACACAAACTTGAAGTCATGAGACTTGGTCAGGTGGTGCATAATAGCTCCCAAAAAATGAATATGAAATAATAAAAGCAAAAAATAAAGTTTGAAAATTTGTGAAAAATAAAAGATAAACTTGATTTTTTTCAAAAGCTTTAATATTCATTTTGAGGGAGTGGGAGTGCTGAGAGAAAGAAAGAATGGAACATGGGAAGAATGATTATAAATGAAAAAAATTAGAAACAAAAAGGTTTAGCCAGGTTGGTGGTCCAGATTGGAGCCAAAACAGTAAATTCTAGTGCTTTGCTGCAATGTGGGCTGGTGAATGCCCCACTCAACAGCAGTTTGAAGCCATCTGAAAACCAGTTTTTCCCAAATTTTCATTTATAATCATTCTTCTCAATTCCCAATCTTTCTTTCTCTCAGCACTCCCACTCCCCCCAAATGAATATCATAGCTTTTGAAAAAAATTAATTTTGGTTTTTATTTTTCACAAATTTTGAAACTTTATTTTTTACTTTTATTATTTCATATTCATTTTTTGGGACCTATTATTTTTGGAATTTCACCTGTTATTGATCTCCCTTCTCCTTCATTTCACAACCATGTCATCCTTTTTGTTTTTAATTATGAATTTATTTCTTATTCATTATGAATCACTCAGTCCCACAAGTTGATCAATGATGTATCTAGACTACTTAAAGATCTCTAGATATTAAGGAATTAAATCATCAGTCTTAGCTATTTTTGATCTGGTCCTAAGTGGACACTTAAGCCTCCATTTAGCCTTTCTCAAAGCGCACTTTAGCCCGCTTGTCTAAGTATAAATAGCATCTCTCAGACTTTGTCTGCTTTTGGCTCTGCCGACTTTTTCCCCTCATCGACTCAAATTTCCTCACGATTAACAGTCGAAATCGACTGAACTTCCTCAATTCTCAACCTCAACAACCTTCCGACCTCAACTCTCACTTCTCAACAATCCCACTTCGCTCGAACTCAGTATGGCTACCGAAGTAGTTCGCAAATCTAAAATTCTTCTCACTCCAACAATTATGCTCTTTGGCTGCTCCCAATGAAAGCCAAACTTCACAAAGCTAAATCACTAACCATTGTCACTGGCGAGCATACCTGTCCTGACCCTAAAGAAGACAAAGAAAACGACCGACTCTACGTCGAGCTCAATGAAGATGCGTATGCTGAAATTGTCCAACATCTCAATCAAGAAATCCTTGCTTACGTCAGTACCACACTACCCGAGACCGAAAAATTCAACGGATACAAACTTTGGCAACTCCTCAAACAGAAGTATGCCGGCAGCGATCTTACTTCCAGAACTACAGCCCTCAACAAGTTCCTCGCCATCGAGTATGAATCGTTTTCGACCTTCCTACCTCTTATTCAATCCGCAAATCAGAAGATTGTCCTCTCTTGACTCGCGCTGGATGACCAAGTCAAAACAATATTGATGCTTCATAAGTTGCCTCAGGATTTTCATTCGTTCAAGACCAATATATCAATGAACTTTGAAACCGAAGCCTTCGAGTCGGTTCTTAAAAAACTTGAAGACTACGCCTCTCAAAATCAATTGAACGAGGTCAAGAAAGCAGCGATTACACCTCAAACCACGCTGTACACTCAATCCTCCGATCCCGAAGTCGTCTGTCCTCATTGCAAACGTGGATTCCGAGCATGTTCTCACTGCTTCAAAAGCGGACACACCGAGGCCAACGGTGGG